CTGTGTGGTGCTTGGTTGCTGACAGGGGCTAAACCATGACATCACCCACCAGAAAAAGGGGAAAAAAACCCCAAGAACACACTGTTTTGTTTCCCTCCCCTATGATTTCAGAGGAGCTGGTTTAAATCTTAATCTCATTTAGTAACACCAGTTTGTGCCTCTGCACAGGCACTTATAACCAACCCAGTATACATTGGGATAATTATGTTACAGCTGCTTTTGCTATGTGGCAACCTGCATCCAGCTTGGGATTTGCATGTGTCCCTTCCCATGTTTACCCAGTTGTTTGGAGGAGTGACCAAACCGGCAGCCTGCGTGCAGTCCTGCCAGATGTAGTAGTCCGTGTACTTCCCGGTCCGATTGCGACTCAGCTGAAACCATCGGTGTTTGTCACTTGTGTGGTTTGGTATTAAATCCATTATCACCTTTAACCCTTGCCAAAAAAAAAAAAAAATCAAACCATAAAAAAATATTACACTCAACCTTTTAAGACAAAGCTCACATTTTTTTCTTAATGCAGCATCAGAAGTGTTTCGGCTTTTTCCTTTCCAGAGGCAAAGGAGAAGGGCTCCTGCTGGAAGGGTTTAGGCTTGAGGGCCTGGTGAGCACATTACATTTTGAGCTGGCACAGGCCCACTGGCTGCTGATATGGGAATGCACAAGCGCAAACAAAAAGCCCCAGACTACTGGTGCAGTTAGTCTAACGGAAGTATGCAAGTAGCCGCACTACATCTTGCTGGTACTGTTCTCCCCTCCCCAGCAGGGAGGGAAAGGAGGGTGAAGAAAAAAAAAAAATCAGAACAGATTTCTGCTGTTATGAACCACTTCCACTAACCCTGACTTCAACACCTGTCTCCCACCTCCCAGCTGGGAAAGGACTTCGCCAGTCTAGCATCAGTGAACACACGTTCTTCGTCACCCTTCTGAAAGACTAGACATTTTTTGAAATCCCAAATGTTTTTGGGACTGGCAGACCATTTTCCATTCAGCCCAACATCTGTAAGGGGAAACACCTGAGCAAACATTTGGTCTAAGGCATAAACACACCAACCAAGAATGCAATTTTGTGAAGGAAGCAATTGTGTGAAGGAAGTAATTGTTTTCCTGCTTTCTCCAGAAAGCAGCCATCAGTCATGAAATTCCAAGTCAGAAACAACTGCATCTCAGCCTTGATCCCATTGGACTATTGACGCCCATACCCATGTGCACCAGGGAGCACAGAGAGTATGTCAGCCCTGCCACCCACGAACATCCTCGGAGGGGACCGTGCCTTGTGGAGGACGTACCGCAGCCTGCGGCTGCTGTTGTAACTCCCCGCGCCTTCGGTCCTGCTCCCAGCGCTCCCCCGGCACCCAAGGGCGGGAAACGGCAACCACAGAGCTCGCATTGCTGTGGAGCTACCGCGTACCCTTCACTGGCACCTCCATCTGCTTCTGCTCAACGCCACCATGGGGGAAGTGCCAGACGCACAAATTGAAATCTCAGATCATAACCTAGCGCTACAAGATACACCTGTATAATACGAGTGAACGACTTGTTAATAGAGTTATTTTGCTCGGAGTTGCAGCTTACCTCTATCGTGTATGGCTGCAACCAGATTCTCAAAATCGCTCATTGATCCAAACATGGGATCAATATCATAGAAGTCTTCAGCTCCATATCCAAGGTCTTTTAAGGGGGACTTATAGAAAGAGGTGATCCAGATGGTTTTTATATTCAAATACATGATATGGTCCAGTTTTTCTTGGATACCTGTTCAAAAGAAAAGGGCATCATCTGTTTAGAAAAGACAAAATATTTCTGTTGAAATGTACTTGCTGTGGTCTCTCAAAGATGGTGCACAGATCCCTTTGATATATAACTGTCCGGTTTTCACTTGACATTTCTTCAGGGATAGCACGAGACCACAGAACAGAAAACATTCAAAGCCACTTTTATAAGGAAGATAAAGAAGGAATTTCAAAAAAACATCAGATCAAAGCAAATTTCTCCTCTGTATTGTAAAAAAGATTTACTATTTCATTTAATAAATTTAACACTCACTTCTGAAAACAAACTCCCATATTTTGTTAAAATGCAGCAACAGCTTTATTTCCCCATTTCAAGGAACGTCAATTAATGCTCAAACCACCCAAAGGGAAGCACAATTTTAATGCAAAGATCCCAGGTTTTCCTTGCCATTAGGAAAGAACTCTTATGGGGTTTTGCTGCTGTTTCCTTTAAGGACACCTCACTCCAGCCTCCCCTAGTATTTTTAAACCCCAAACTCTCCTGTCTTCCTGACATGTTACTACTGGCATGCAACTACAGAAACGGTTTCTTCTCTTCACTTGCCAATAGATTACATTATTATTCTTGTTTAGAGATTTATTGTCTATTATGGTGTTGAGCCTTCCCCTTCTGAAACTTAAGTCTCAGCTAAGCTACCAATAAGTGACATTGCCACCCCTTCTCACTCAATGCATTCATAAGAGCTCAAAAACACCCAGACCACAAACAAAAAGTAACGCATCTTTCTCTCCTCTTTGGCGCTTTTTCTTATGGAGAGGCAGCCAACCTAATATGACAAAGTGCTCAGCACCACCCGTCCTCCTGACTGACCTCAGTTTTGTGGAGATATTTTATTCTGATGGAAGTTGTGCTGCTGGTCACTCTCAGCCCCACCTCTAAACATCCATTCTAACTCCAGGCTTAGATTTAGCAACCTGAGCAAGAAGGTCCTAGATCTATTAATGACAACATGAGCTGCCATTAATGACTAACCAGACAACTTTTATTCCCCTCTCCAGTAGGGTGGCTTTCTCTACTGGGAGATTTCTCTATTTTTTAAGTGTATATACACATGTATGCACACACAGACTACTTCTACACAGCTTTGCACGTACCAAGAACGGAAATTCACCCACCTTTCAGATCCCCATTCCCATCCATGTTGCTGTCCTTGAAGGAACGAGGATAGATCTGATAAATAGGACTAGCCTGCCACCAGTCAAGGCACTTTGGAGAGAGAGCAATAATTGCAATCGTAGCGCACACAAGCATGACAGAAGCGGCAATTATGAGCCAGAAGAGAATCTCCCTGGTGACTCTGTACCGGGCTTGGCTGGAGAACTTCAGCAAGACTTCCTTTGGCATCCCCGCATAGGGCTTCAGCGCCAGCTCCTCTGTAGCCACTGGGTCCATGTCAACAATGTGTGTTTTTGGCATTTCTTCTTGGCTACTGGTATCGCTCTCCTTGTCATCAAAAGCCTCATTTTGAACAAATCCATTGTTCTCCACACCTCCTTTCTCGCCCAGCTCCATAGGTAAGCTCTTAGCTTCCTCCTCAACCATTTTGCTTCATGGGTCTTGTCCTGGAGACTCCGGCCACAGCAAGGAAGCGTGCCGACACACCTTTGTTCAGTGAAATGAAAAGCAGTGTAATTAGCATCTGGGTTTATAATCAATCCTGACCAACTGGTCAAAGTTCAAAAAGAGACAAAAAGGGCAAAGTGCTCCTGCTCTTCCGTATAATAAGCATCTTCAGCAAGATAACAAAATGCTACAAGAAAGCGCAGTCTTTCAGGGAGGCAAGCTTGTACCAGAGTTATGTTTACTGTTACTCTCTCCAGTACACCAAACTTCTCTTCCTTTTGACAGCAGGGGAAAATTTGAGGGTTTTGACCAGCAAAAGATTTAGTAAATATGCAGCTTTCCAGACTGGTCATGGTCTCCCTTGCCTAAAGCAGTCAGAGCGTGAGTAATTTAAACATGGACAGCAAGAACGAGGTGTTGACAACTTCTGGCCCAAAAGCAACAATACAAACCAACTAAGAAGAAAAGATACAAAGGCCGGTTGCACTTTGTTTCTCACAGCTTAGAAAAACAAACCCCTCAAACTAACTCAACCCAGCCCACCCACAACTCTTAAGCAGTAACCATGATAAGGCACATACCGATCCTGCGATTCACGGCATGTGACAGGTTGCTACACCCGGGGCCATCCCCAGGTCAGGACAGGATAGCTCTGCACAGGCACAAGCAGGACTCAAGAGAGAAAAACCCACTGCCCACTATTAAAATATTTCTTTTTTTCTTTTTTTTTTTTCTTAAATTTGTTTGAAGGAAAGTGACTTTTTCCCCCCCCCCCCCCCCCCCCCCTTTTCTACTACTCTAGCCAGGAAAAAGCACTGCCCAATGCCCAAACTCTGCACAAGCATGCACAGATTTACACATCTGTGTGCCCTAGGGCCCAGCTGCCCTGAAGCCAGCGAGCCTGCATCCCCCAAGACAGCCCCTCCAGCCAGCGCCCTCTGCCCAGGCATACTGAAGGAAACACAAAGCAATCTACATTTGCCAAGGAGCTGCCTTATCACATGTAAAAGCAAACGCTTGCCCACAACCATAGTGTCAGGGTCCCAGGGAAACTCCCATGGGCAGCTGCTGTGGAGAAAAAGTTGGGTTTGGGCTCAAAAAAGTATTTATTATGTTTGCCTCAAACCATGAAAGAAGTTTATAAACTAATGGCTGAAAAAAAATCCCACATGCAATATTCAGTTGATTCAAAACCATGTTATTTCTTCCGTAACTGAGCTAAGAAGAGGTCTTGTTCTCCGACAGATTTAATCCTTCCCCTTCCTTACAGCAGTGCCTAGCAGCAACCTCAGCCTGTGCAGAGTCAGGCAGTTGCCGGAGCATGCGAGATAGCAGCAGTAGTTTCAGTGCCTGTAATTCAGTATTGTCAGGAAATTATTTGAAACAGTCTCCCTTCTAATGACTCTGCAGTCTTAACATCATGGTATCAGGAAGTTGTAAAAGTTTCCAGGCAGGCACGGGCACTCAGGGCATAAGCTTGTACTTGGTACCTGGTTTGAATGCGTCAGTCTCTGTTTGCTGTATACTTCGTCTTTGCCACAACACCAGCTGCTCCCCCCACCCCTTTAAATCACCTCATTTCAATAACTTCATTTCAGATTAAAATAGCAAATGTGTAAATACAGAAAATATTTAGATTGCGTCACGTACACCTCAAGACCTCAGTACTCCCTGCCTTGCTGTGTACCCAAACTCGGAGTTTTAAACACACCTGTGGCTTCCTTCCCAAAAGCTCCTTCAAGCACCCAAGCGAAGCGGGAAGCAAAGGCAAGAGCAAAGGATGACCAAAACGCAGCCGCCTGCCGTGGACATGCGGGTCAGCCGAGCCAACGGGACTCGGGACGGTCAGGTGCACACAGAGGGCTCAGCGCTGGCGCTGGGAGAGTGCAGGACCAGACGCACAGCACCCTCAGTTGTGGGTTCTTGGGTTGTGTTTGTTTGGGGTTTTTTGGTTGTTTGGTGTGCCCTTTTTTCCCCCCTAGACCATAAGCACATTTCTAAATCATGTGGCTGCCACAATACAGAATCAGAGCTGAGAATATGGATCTATATATGAAGAGATATAAGAAACATAGGCACAGAATATGTATGTACATGCACCCCCCAGCAATGCATATGACCCTCCAAAAACCCCATCACTCACCACAAGAACAAAGCCAAGTCTCCCAGATGACAACACTGTGCAAAGCCAACACCTACAAGAATGCAGCCCAAGTTCAAGGACCCTCATGTTTCCTATTTTGCAGCATGGGCATACAACAAGAGAAGGCAGGTGTCAACGCATTTACATACTCCACATGCAGATCAGCACTTCTGCAAGTCCCAGAAAGCATCTCTGGCATATCGCTGGGACACAGACATGTAATTTATCATAACAAATAGCTGCTCAATAGGCAATGCTACATGACCACGACTTAAGATGCAGGTTTACAACTAATTCACCAGCATTAACACTCATTTAATCAACTCTTATCCCTGACTGCTTGTTCCTGCCTTGCATTGCCCACTGCTTCGTGCCAGGTGAAGTGCTGAGGCAGCTGCACAGTGAACCAGATTGGGAACCAGATTTGGCTGGGGGGAAAAAAAAAAAAAAAATTCATTCTTCAGACAGCTCTATTCCTAATCCACCTGGTCCCCATGAGACCACACAAATGCTTCTACCAGCACAGCACAAGGAGGAGGACAGGCAGGGAGAGGGGCCAGGACACAAAGCACAACTACTCGACGGAGCAACTCTTCCAGCAAATCATAGCCTGCACATCTAACATTCGTTTTAGCACACTCATGCCTGAGTCAGGGAGTCAGAGAAAGTCAGGGAGTAGAAAGCAGCTAATTGTCACACCCACAAACGCTCCTGGAATCAAAACCAGGGAGAGGGCTTAAATTCTGTTAACGGCTTACCCACAGTCACGCATGAAAACCGTGGGGGATCAGGGACTTAACCCCACTTCACCCAAGTACCACATCACTGCTACCCAAAACACTGTTGAAACTCCGGTTCCAAGGCAGTATTTCAGCTCCACCCTTTTCTTTAAGCCACTAAAATTAATGGTGCTAATTGCCTGCATGGACATGTGCGCTTGATCTAAAGATACAGGGTGGGTTAAAGATACAGGGGGGGTTGCCCTTCGTATGCATACTTCTAACAACTGATAAAGGCCAACTTGATATTTCGGTAGTCAGAAGCTGCCACTGCTCTCTGTACATGTGGTTGGGAAGCCGTTACTTTCCCCTCATTCAAAGGTCTTGCAGGGGCGCAGCGGCCAAGGACTGCTCCGCGAACCCCGCCGCACAGGAACCGCGTCTTCAAAAGAGCCCCTCTTGTCCTAATGTAATCCCCAAGTAACATTAAAGGCTTATTTATACCTTAAGTAGGACAGATCGTGTCTCAATTGCCAAGTGTCTGGCTGAAAAGAGGAGGATTACGCTGCTGCGGCAGATAAACAGCGTGCACGAACCAGAGGCTGTGTACGGATGAATCCGTGTGCACCCCTTCAACCTCCCTCCGGTGGCTACGGGGCATGCAAAGATACAGGGACCCACTCAATTCTTGTAAGGTTAAAACAGAATATAAAGCATCCTGGAAACAAAACAGGTCGCTGTCTTGGTGAACGTATGGTTTTTACAGCCAGACTGACTGTGCTTACAGCAGACTTCAATCGTATTTCAGATCAACTCCACATTGTTACGTGCACACACGAGCTGCAGCACAAGCAGGTACTAGCAGAGCACAGGTATGCTCAGGCTGGACATCCGGACCTTGAATACTAAAAATTCTTCTAGAAAACCTGGAGGGAAAATACAGCCACAGAACTTAAAATAGGTCTGGACGATCACCTACCATGGACCCTGCAGAACAAGCCCAAGAATGCAGTACCCCCTCCAATGTTTTTTCCTCATAGACTAAAAATAAAACCACAGAGCTATTTTGTTTTTATTACAGACCTATTTTTTTTTCTCTCCTCAACTTGAGAAGTTGCTCGCCTGAAAATTATTTGATAAAGGGAAACAGTAAACTTCATCTTAAGAGAGGCAGATCACCAACAATTCCCACCGAGCTTTAACTTTTTCCTTTTAAAATATATTTTATGTATGCAGGCATTATGCTTCTGGCTTGCTCTCAAGCAATTCTGAAACAGTTCCCTCCTGAGCAATTTTATAGTTTAGCAGGAGTAACTAAGCCAATGCAACTGCGTTAGCAGAATCCACTGAAAAGCATTAAATAGTAAAGAAAACACTTCACATTCTGTGCCAGTTATTCTGTTTACCTCAGGGTTAGATAGGGAAACAAAACCAGTCGCTATGTGGGCAGTAATAGCTGCTATCTCCACACAGATTGCCATGGTTATTTCTGTAAGATGGAGGGGTTAATTTCCACAAGTATTTCTTATATATAATTATTTAGATGCACAGGCTGACTAAGTAGTCTGCTGTTTGATGCTATACAAATGCCAAGTAGCTTGCCAGTTATTCGATACCATACATATTACACTGAAAACCACACAGAGGGGTGATTAAGCACCCTAATGTGCTACACATAGGAAGATGTTTATTGTTAAAAAGTTCTCTTGCCTAATGCTTTTTCATTAAATGGTTTCTTACCACTGGAACTAGTCTGACATAATGCACTTTACCTCTAAATATAACCTCATTATTTACAGAATCAGGGCCAGTTTTACACCCACGTAAAGAGGCAAACACTATAGTTGTCAGTTTTTCCTCAGTGGCTCCCACAAGACTGATGGATAATCCGACCTTTAAAGCTACATTTCATTCAGCAGTAAGAAAATCCTCCCTTGACGCGGAGAGCAGCCGTCCAGAGACACGCTCTCAAGGAACAAGTTTCTGATGCGGTATCTTCCACACTGGGCATCCCGGACCATGCATGAGGTTTCTGCCATCAGCCTGAAGTCCTGGAGGGTGGCAAAAAGTAATTGCGTGGGATGCTGACATGGTTTGGTGTGGTTTTTTTTTTTTTT